TTTTTTTAATTAGAATAGAATTGCAAGTGTCAAACAACTAGGCCAGTGAAAATAGCTGGGTCTTTTACCTTATTATAAAAGTTGATTATAAGGAAAGAATGTATTGCTACAATGAGTTATAAATTTGTTGGAGATGATAAATTTCATTCTGACAACTTCTTTTGCATCCAAGAATTCATATAAGTAAGGGAGTAAGGGGAAGTAATATTGATGATTAATACTTTTATTTATAATTTATAAATTATTTAATTTACACAAATAAATATTTAGGTAAGTAGACTCAGGCACGAGGTAAACTAATAACTCAAAAACACGCGTACACTGTAGATTGGAGGGAAATGACAAAATAGTGGTCCCACCGTCACGGTTGCTATGGTAACATAGAATTTAGTTTTAGTCCTGTTAAAAAACTTGGTATTCTCAGATTTAAAATACCAGTTTTCTTAAATCTAAAATATTTAACTTATTGACTTTTACTTCGTACAAGAAAACTCGACTAAAAAATATTCAGTATTCCGGGTATAAAAAAACTTTTTTTTCAGTGCAATATTAAATTACCCTAAAATTGAAGTTTTAAATCGAATAAGAGAATTAACAGATAAATAAATATTGATTGAGTTTAATTGAAAATACCTCAAAGCTTCCGCCACGTCGAACAAAGGGCATCGAGCATGTAGTCATAATAAAGAGAATAACGATCAAGGCAACACCAGTTGGATTAGCTCCACCACCCACTAGACCAAAGAGTCCTGGTTTGCTCGTCAAAAGCCACTCTGACATCGTGTAGTGCGAGCTATTTAATACTTCATCGTTGATCACAACCATACCTAACATCAAAATTACCAGTCAAGTAAATGCTACGTATTATTCTCTTTTGATCCCTTACAGCCCACATTGCACATGCACACACATACACTCATACTTCCATGCCCATACGCACCAATCGGCCATCATGTACGGGAATCTCTCATTAACAACATCGTAACGTCGTAATATATACTGATCAATAAATTTTACCAAAATTTAGGAGGTGCGCTGCGGTATGCACGACAGCCATCACTCCAATCGTAACGCCAACCATTTTGTGCAGGTAAATGTGATGATCCAACGGTAAAATCGAATTAAATCCATGTGTACGCAGGAATGTTATGCACTGTCGTAACATCAGTATTAATATAAACGTGCAATCAAAATTTAAACATTGCCCTGTGAATAAATATTACATTCGTATATTCATTTATTTACTTATCCGTTCATTATTTATTTTAAATATTTTCGAATTCCCTTTATTTATAAATTATTAATTTTATATATTTTAAGAGGAATAAGGATTAAATATTATTATTAATGGAAAAATATTTTACTCTCTAAATTTTTAATATTCTTCATATTTTTAGCGTAAATTGAATTTTTTTTTTTTATAAATATACGGAAAAAAGAAAACTCGAAAAATTACAGTATAAAATGTAAAATCGGTCCTGTCGTAATCAAAACTACACAGAAAAAAAAAAGATTTTGAATCAAGTATATATTTTTGAAGAGCTTAATATTCTTGGTTTGAATAGAAAAATTATTGATTTGAGAAAATTTTTCTTGATTTAAGGAAATTTTACTTAATTCAAGAATTTTTCGTCTTGATTCAAGACAATAACCCTCTTCAAAATTATATTCTTGGTTCAAGAATTTTTCTCTTGAATTAAGTTACTTTTTTTTTTTCTGTGTAGAAAAATTACAGTTTGAAATAATATTTTTCTAAATTCAATTTTTTAATTTAATATTCAGAGTAATTTTTCCAGTTTTCATCACAAAGCGCCACGTTACATTATATACTGTAATTTTTCGAGTTTTCTTTTTTCCGGGTAACTAATATGAGTTTTAATTTTATAAAAATAAGATTAATGTAATTTTTAGTCAATAGTAAAAATAAAGACGTTGGGGAACAGATAAATTGTTATAATTGTTATATAATTGTTACCCAATTTAAGGGATCATTTTGGATTGTAACTTTCAAAAAAATTTTGGTAATTATTTACAAGTGGGGTCCACCCATGCTGGGCCATAATAAATTTTTTTTTTTTTTATGTACTTTAAAAAAAATTTATCAAAAACATAAAAAAAAGATAAAATATAAATTTTATCCATCAAAAACATGAAAGCCAATTTTTTTTCCAGCTTTTAAAGGCAAAAAAGCTATCGAAATCTTTATTTTTTCCTTTCACAATAATTGTTATCATAAATCCGCCGTAAAAACAAGCAGAATAAAAAAAAAATTTTAAATGTTAATTTTTTACCTAGATATGGCCAAAAATGTAGTAGATCCCACTTATAAATAATTATAAAAATTTTTTTTTTTTACATTTTTTGAAAGTACCTATAACGACAAGTATTGGGTTAGAATTTCTAAGTGATTATTCCTCTTGTCTTTTTATATCTATAAAATAAATTTATTATTTATTTGTTTAGTTGGTAATTAAGTAATACTTACCACATGCTCGAGCCAACATTGTGTAAGAATTTGTATTTCGGTATTGATACAACCTCGTCACAAAAAGGATAAAATTGATAATAACAAATGCCGAGAGGAACACTATGAAGACGTGGTTATTTTTTAAATAAGGTTTCGTCAGCTGATAAGGTTTTAATGAATACAGCAAACTTAAAATTGATGGTCTGGATTCTTCGGGCTTCGGTGGTACCATCCAACGATCGATACTGGAAAATTCAAATGCTTGTTTTTAATTAGTAATTTTTATACATATTTTATTCATGTCCTTTTTTTGGCTTATAAAAGCTTTATTCGATCATTAAATAAAATTTGAATTTAATGGAAGTTTTATTTAATCAATTATTGGACGGTGTTACCAAGTGCTATGAATAAGTAAATCTGTTTTTAAATTGTTCTGGGATAAAATATTTTTTGCTTGAGTATATCAAATTTGCGAAGTTGATTCAAAATTATAAACATGTCAGTAAAAAAATTCATGGAATAATGTATAAGATAAATTTAAAAATTATGTTGTAAAATTCAATATCAAGTCGTAAATTTCCAGTCGCGTTATTTAAATTCAATGATGTTTTGAAAATCTTATTAAAAATTAATGATAATTTTCTTATAAATATTTTACAAGTGTAATTTTTTTATTTTAATTTAATTTAATTTTTTATTAATTAAATTAAAAACTTGGTTGATATTTATAAATTATTTTGCACAAAGGTGTTAAAAATTTATGTTTTATGGAGTTTTAGATACAAAATTCGAAATAAAAAACTATGTAATTATCATTAAAATTTATCAACTGCATTAAAATGTTTATAAAGTATTGAAATAAATATTACTTATCATTTATCGACAATTTTATTTGTGAACATGAAAATTCAAAAGATTATCTTTATATAATTGTTTATTTTATAGTTATTGACTTGAGTAACGGCAGAATAAGCTTCGCTCTCGTATTTATATTGAAATTCCATTTAATTGATAAATTATTAATGAAGTAAAGTATATGTTTCTGTATTTCCTAAAATTAAGATTAATAGAATTAATATTACATTGCATTAACCATAGTTCAGTTATATTTTCAGGAGTTTTAAATATTTAATTACCGGTATGAGTAGACGTAGCAATAAGAAATAAAGGTAGCAGTTGAAAGCAGATAGAAGCGAAGGAAAATGACGGATTAATTACAAAGCAAAGTGGAAATAGAATTAAAGAAGAAGAAGAAGAAGAAGCGACAAGAGAAGCGATTTAATGATCGAGACAAATCATCTGAAATATTGATGAGTTTAAATGGTATGATTATTATTATTACTCTTCGCTACAGGCTATCAATTTACCTGATGGATAGATTCTCAAGAAGACCCTCTTGTTTTTCGAGCTGTTTCTTCAAGGCCTCGAACGTGATTGCACCTCTATTTCCCTGATCGGCGTCTTCAAACAGGGCAAGCGTTAAATCTTCAATCTGCTCATCACTAAATTTCATTCCATTTTCCTCCATACAAGCTCGCATAACGTGCTCCAATTCACGGTGCTGAATTAATCCGTCCCCTTTATCAAAATAATATTACGTTATATTATATTATTTCATTATTATTAATAGTCTGAATCAAGTGAAATGAAATAGAGCTCAGAAGAGGATATATTAAGTAGGAAAGGTTCATTAAAGACAGTATACTTTCATGGCATCGCTGGAATTTAGTATACTACACGGAGAAAATTTTATAATAGTTTATTATCTAGTTATGTTAAAATTTATTAACTGAATTCGATAGTAGTAAATATCATTTAAATAATTAAGTAAACCATCTGAATTGTAGTATTTACCATCCTGATGGTAACTACTACTATTATGATGGTAATCAGTAATAATAACTGTTATTATTTTAATTAGTTACTACTATTATCAAAATCATAATTCTTAATATAACCTGATGGTTGTAGTTACCATCAGTAATAATAATAACTACTATCTAAGCTAGTAAAAAATATTAAAAAAATTAAGAATCTGCGTTACCGTGGATGCATTTCTGAATAAACTAAAACAAGTTTCAACTCCAAATTTTTGAAAAAAAATTTGAAATTTCCAAAAAAATAAAAATTTTCAATAAAATTCAAATTAAAAAAAAATTAAAATTTCAAAAAACAAATTTTAAATCTTCAAAAATATCAAATTTTCAAAAAAAAATTTTGAAGGGAATTTAAAATATTTTAATATATTTCAAAGAAAAAAATGTACATTAGCTAAAATATGGATCTAAATAAAGAATTTAATTAAGTAAATTTATATTATTTTTTCTTTCAGAATTTTTACAATCTGAGATGGTTACAGTTACCATCTTCGATTGTAACAGTTATAATTTATAATAATTACAATTATTATTTTTGATAGTAATCGTTACCATTATTAATAATAACTATTACAATTGTCAATGATACCACCTATTATTTTGTTACTAATTAATTTTATTACCATTTTAGATAGTAGGGGTTACTATTTTTGTATAGTAGGTAGTATAATTAATTTTTCTCTGTGTAGGTGAAATAAATAGACACTAATAATTGAATCTAAATTCACTATTAGCAATAGCAAGCAGGATAGGTGGTATTTTTGTTTTTATCTACCAGGGAAATAAAGTTGATGGACAAATGCTAATTATATTGAATAGCTAAAAGCTTATAAAAACTTTATGATACATTAACATTTGTTCTAGAAGAGTTCTATTCAGAGAAAATCTATATCTATTGGTTTATAATGGACGGATATACGCTGTCGCTAAATTCGTAGGATATAAATGTCAGTTTATCAAATACTGATGAAATTTCATAGTAAAGATAGCGACAGTAGTTGCTTGTTGAGTTTCATTGAGTTTTTTGATTATTTATTTCTAGAAAATTATAAATAGTGTTTTATATTCTTTCTATTATTACCAGCAACTCGAAATCACTACCGGACTACCGAGAATCAGGAATAAATAAACTTTTGCTCAATGTTTTTTTAATATTTTTAATTATAATATATTTAATTTGGGTACTTTCGGAACAAATTCAAAAATTTATACTGCTATTACGGAATCGATTATTAATAATTTAATAGACAAATGTAACGGAAAAAATTTATAAAGCTAATAAATTATTCAAAACTCTTTCAAAAAATTGACTATCACAATAAAGTATATAAAGTTGTGAAAAGGTTAAAATATACGTCAAAACTTTTCTGGTCTTATCAAATTTAACTATAAAAATAAAAATCTCTTTTCAAATAAAAATACGCTTGTCATAAAATTTTATTATTCTGTCAATTATGTGGATTATTGTTTGACATATCATAACATTAACATGCACAAAAAACATTTTATCAAACGCAAAATTCGAATCTATTTAGAATTATTTCCAAAACTTATCATAAATTATAATAAATTAATCATCTCTGAAAAGCATTTAAAAACTTAAAAATTCACCGATTTAGATCAATACCTTTTCAATGTTACTAAATTTGGCTAAAAAAATACCCAATACGCTGGACATAAAATTTTCCTTACTCTATTAATTATACAGATGATTTTGATTCATAAAAAAAAAAGTGAGATTAACAAATTAGGTGTCAAAAGATGAATAAAAAGCTTGAAATTCAGTAAACTATTCAGCATTCATTTAAAAAAATCAAATTAAACAAATCAAATTTTGAACTGAGCTTACCCGTGTCACAAAGTACTCAGTCTTTTTGAAAACCCGCCATAATCTTAGACTTGTGATTTCACTTAAAATCTGTAAGGATTTTTGCTTTTGTTTATCCGCATCTTCGTAAAAAGAAAAAAAAAATAACGATTTTTCATCATCAAATTTGCACTGTAAAATAAAATTAACTTGATTCCAGATACAAATCTTGAACCAAAAAAATTATTTTGGAGAGTTTGATCGTCTTGAATGAAGAAGAAAAATTCTTGAACTCATCGAGAGAAACTGTACTATCTTTGTGGCACTCGCAACAGCAAAGCTATTGCAGATTCATGAATTATTCTTTAACTAAATAAAAATTTCGTAAAAACGCTCTGATAAAAAATAGATAATTAAACAATCTATCGAGTAGCAGAGAGTTTTCTCTAAAATTTTTTTTTTGTTGAGGAGAAATTTATGAAGCTGCAATAACTGGGATTAGCTCTTAAGATGATCCAACTTTTAAAAATAATTTTATTGATTCAAAAATTTTCAGCTTAAATCAAGTTAATTTCTTTTACAGTGTGTACTGAGTGATCAAAAGTAACTAATTTGAAATAGGTTAGCAGCCAATATCTAAGAAAAGTAGATTAATAATTACTGAACAGTTTGTCATACATTTTTAAGAGATTCATAAGTTAATAAACGTCGAAATTCAGTGAATAAATAATAAAGTACGGAAGGCAAAAGAGATAATAATATGACTTTTATTTTTATTTAATTATTTATGATCAGTTATTTATTGATTGGTATTGACATAGATAATCTAAGCATTATCTGCCAGAAGTAAAATGTTTTCCTTTTTTTCTTATAAAAAAAGAAGAATGAGCAAAAATTAGTTTTATGAAAAAAAAGTATTGTATGAACAACAGCGATGTATTGATTAAATTTCTTCAGCTTAGTACTCATTTCCAATAGCTTATGGAAACTAATTTCAAGAAAATTAGAATTGACACCTAGTGAAGTGAGAAAAGGTATTGCAGTAACGTCGTCCAACTTTCCGAAGTTTCATAAACAAGATGTGTTTATAATGCTCAATAATATCCTGTTATTGCCCTTTCAGTCCTCAAGAGTATTCAAAGTATCTTCCTCTGAATACCCTTTTTAATAACGTTATAATTTAAACTTCAAGGTGACAATTTCATTGGCAGTAAACTTGGTAGAGATATAACGTCAATACCATTTTAATATTACGTTAATTATAATTTCACTTCATTGATCAGACGAAGAACTAGGACTGAGATTCGAACTAATTTCTAACTATTAGGTAAGCATGGAATTTGGTGTGAAATGGTCTTTGAGATACTTCCGATGACCAAAAGAATACCTCCGTTCAAAAGTTGACTCTCGTTTAGTACTAGTTAAAAACATACAAAAGTTTTTTAACAATAACTCAAAATTTATTAGAATCACAGAAAATTTCATGAAATAAAAATTGTAGCATATAAAATTTTCTACAAATATTGTCAAAAGCAATTTTTTATCCGCCCGTTTTTGAAATAATAGAGCGCACCAAAGTTTCATGAATGAAATTTTATGAGGTTCTAACATACATTATGAGTTTTTGAGGAAAAAATTGGAAATTAAGCGGTTTTATCTTCAATTTTTTTAATTATTGCTTAACGATAGTCAACTGTTAGAGGAATTTTGGTCATTCATAAAATTAGTCCACTAGATTTCGGGTTTATTTCAAGGTAAGCTATAATTATCCCATGAAAAAAAGTAGCGGATTTCCTCCGGTGGTTGCCCCAAAAATCTTAAAGGAATTTATATTTTGACACAAAACCAAATTTTGAACCAAAACTTTTGACCCTGACCCCTTTTGATTTGGCTGAAAGTTTACCATCCTTTTCTACCCTATCAAAAACGTCTCTCATAATTTTTTCAAATTTTTTTACCCAACCAAAAAAAAGTTCCGAATTTTTCAAAAAAACCGCTTTTTTATTTTTAAATTGCCATAACTTTTTCAAAAATTGGCTTATCGGGACGTTTTTTTTTCAAAATTTTTGTTAGTAAATGTTCTTTTTGGAAAAAAATTCGAGGATTCCCGTAAATTTTTGGACCGATGTTATGAAAAATACGACAAAAGAAAAAAAATTTTTTTTTTAATTGAAAAGAAAAAATAAAAATCGGAAAAACACCTTTCTGGAAATTTCATAATATCTGTAAAAAATGTCAAAGTTTAAAATGAGAAAAAGAAAAAAGAAACTAAAAATGGTATTCATCAAAAAATTCGGAGTTTTTTCTAAAAATTTTAAAAATAACGATGAAGATAGCTTTAAAGAATTTTTCATATTTTTTTCCAAAAAAAACATTTAATGACAAAAATTTTGAAAAAAAAAACGTCCCGATAAGCCAATTTTTGAAAAAGTTAAGGCAATTTAAAAATAAAAAAGCGGTTTTTTTGAAAAATTCGGAACTTTTTTTGGGTGGGGAAAAAAAATTTAAAAAANNNATAATCTAATAATAGCCTCCAAGGGTGTACTTTAGCGAACTTCCGTGAGGCTCTGGCTTATAAATTGAGAGAGTTAGAGGAAACGGAAACTCGTAAGATGAATAAACATGGACGTAATGTACAGCTGTTAAAACTTCAATATATTACATGCCGTAAGCGCGAACCGTGGAGACTACGCTGCTATGCTCTATACACCCACCTCAAAATAGTGTTATCGATTTTTTCGTTTCAATCGTGGTTAAAATTCAGAATATACGCTTAAACAGTATAATAAGCACTTTCTCATATAAGTATGAATATATAAATAATAGATTTTGTGCACATTTAAATCGATTTATTAAAATGTCTCGATAAATAAGATTGTATTGGTCATTGCACGCCTCAGAGCGCACAGCGTTTAAGGTTATTCATAACTCTAAAATTTAGGCCAAATAATTTTTATCATACTCACTCAGTAAGTTCAATTTTCAAGCACTGGGTGGCGTCCGCAAAACTACTTATTTCTAAAGACCCTACTTCACCGCTTATTTTTTCCAGCTTAGACCACAAAATGTACCTTCTCTTCTTTCTCCCTGTACTGTTATTATATAACCGGACAGATTTAGAGGGAACTGTAAATAGAACAATCCCATTCTAGCTTACCGACTGAAGATTTAAGTAGTTCATCAATAACGATGAAGATAGGTTTGAATAATCTCTATCAAATTTTTTTTTTATTTTCAAAAGTGTATTAAAAAACAAAAATTTTGAAAAAATAAACGTCCCGATAAGCGAATTTTTGAAAAAGTTATGGCAATTTAAAAATAAAAAAGCGGTTTTTTTGAAAAATTCGGAACTTTTTTTTGGTTGGGTAAAAAAATTTGAAAAAATTATGAGAGACGTTTTTGATAGGGTAGAAAAGGATGGTAAACTTTCAGCCAAATCAAAAGGGGTCAGGGTCAAAAGTGGTTGATTTGGCGTGGAATGCCCCATATATATTATTAAAAGTAACTTATGAAAATGAATGCATTGATGAAATATAACTGCTAAATTTCGAACCAAACTATAAGCTACTTACAAGTACTTATATCAGAAGCTATTTGTCAATATTACAGGTGTTTTAATTTGTAAATTTAGCGTTTGAATAATTCAAGTGTAAATTAAGTTGTAAAGGATTTTATTTATAGAGCAATTGAAAATAAATAAAAGGAACGTAAGTAGTACGAGAAGCTATTTATTATACCAGTATTGTTAAACCATTGAATGGCGCAGATCAGTCACGGGAAAGAAATGGACGGGTATAAAGAGGTTTAGCCCTTGAGACTTTTAAAGCAACGTCTTGCCAGTAAAATCGTAACTTATACTCAATTGTAGTTTCATAAATTTACGAATAAAAAGGTTTTTTTTTTCTTTGAATTGGAAAGATATAGTGAAAGGTATTTTTATACCTAAATTTTTTTTTAACGGATAAAATAATAATATACTTTCCTCAAAGTCGTTTACTTATAAAATTACGTGGTTCAATAAATTTCTACTGTGTACACTCACTTCAAACCCAATATTTATCTTATAGTTTGACTTTATAACTGAAGTAATTTCCTTCTCTAAAGGTCATCCATGATGGTAAATGTTATGTTTGTGCAAAATCAAAGAAATTATTATTAGAAAAAATTAATTTTGCTAAAAAATGGAAGTAAGGATTTTCTTTGTCGATGTAGTACAATCTTTAGAAGCTTAAATAAATTTAAAACCAATTTAAAAACTAAAAACACACTTTTTATACATCTTTACTCACTACAGATGAATAAATAAATCAACTGATGTAAACTAAACGTTTATTTTCATGTAAATACAGAAGGAATAATTTAACAGATTTTCTCTGGCGGAATCAACACTAGGAATTTGTGTAAAAACAATACTTTTTTTACACCACCTATTTCCGCTGAATTCAACTGTTTGAGGTTTAAATTTGAAAATACTTCATTCCATATAGCATCGATTTTAGAAACAAGAAAAAAATGTTATTTAAATAAAAAAATTTCCGATTTATTGAGTCGTCTTTTTAAAAGCTTACGTCAGAGTATTTTCAACACACTACTACCCTTATTCGAAACGACAGTATTAGATGAGCGTATATAAGATAGCACTGAAGTTAATTTAAACAGTTTTGTCTTGATCCAAAATAACAAAAATAATTTTCGGACAATTATAGTTTCAAGTTTCAATAAACAAATTGGCGCTACGGTGAAATGCTAAAACATTTACACCAATTCAGAGTATTGAATTTCTGTCAATTTGACCGCTGGAGTTTCAAGCTACAAGGGATTGTTGATTCAGAGTTATTTTTTAAATTAAAGTTATATCCAGCTAACTAGAATTGGCAATTAAAAAAAAAAAAGTTTTAACTCTAAGGTTAGAATGATAAAATTGTCTTTAGATCCCATTTATATTTTCAATATAAAATTTAATATCCCCACTTGAGAAATATTCTTAATCCAAGAGAATTATTTTTGAGTGAACCGTTTATCTTGATATAATAATTTCTTACACGGAAAAAAGTAAACTGTATTAAATAACAGTCGATTTATAATAAGTAATGATCAACTGCTAAAAATAACCATTTCAAACAATAAAATCGTGATTTAACTTATTCACTTTGTAATATTTACCATTTAAACGTTACAATTTACTCTTTACATGGAAGAAAATACTATTTCAAACAGTAATATTCGCTATGTAAATATCTAAAATGTTAAAGTATAATAATTAAGAATTCAGACTTTGATATTTATCATTTCTTACCTAAAAAATGATCTTATGATATGTAAAAAGTATAAAATAAAGTTAGTAAATTTCTAATACAAGCAACGTCAATATTTACTAAGTAAAATGGTAAATTTTAAACGCAACGCTAAAAATCAAACTGTAATTATTGATTTGCTTGGACTGGTAAAATGTATATTTTAAAAGTATAATTTTTACTGTTCCAAATGTTAAATTCTCCCAGAGTGAGACCCCCTTCTCCTTATCTGAGTTCCCCTTCTCCACATAATATGGACTAAATATTGAAATGACAATTTTTACTGTTTGAAACTGTAATTTTTTAAGATGAGAGAGTCGTTATTTACTATAGTGACAGCTACTAATCACTTATTTTGGATATTAAATTATAAATTGTGGCTTTTATACTGTCTACATTAAGTTCTGTAATATTTATATTTTTGCCACCCCGATGTCGGCTTTACTGTTTGAAATTATAAAAATTAACCGGAATCCGAGTGAAGATTAGTTTACTTTTTTCCATGTATCTTGAACATCTTTGATCAAAAATATATTATATTCGTTATACCACAAGTTTCTTTATTCAAAATAGAAAAAAAAAATTATTTTTTTTTTTTTATTTAAATCCATTTTGAAATTTATTTAAGACTTATTTTGGATGATATAGATATATTAACGAAAAATCAGAGTATTGTTAGTCTTCCCAAAAGTCAATAATATCTTGAATCAATGTTAATCAGTAAAAAAGAAACTATTAAAAAAGATATGTCATCTTATTTAAAAACAAAAATTCTTGATCAAAGAACTTTATCTAAAAGAGTTTTATTTTCTTGGTTCAAGAGTGAATTTCTTGAATATCACAAAGCAAGAGTAAAATTTTAAAGAGGACATCTTTCTTGAATCCAGAAGTTTTTCTTTTCTCTATAAGCTACGCTCGAATTTCTTAAGAACAAAGATAGTGAGCTTTTGTACAAGAAATATTGTTCCAATATAAATGAAAATTACAATAGCTATTGTTATGTTTATGGTTATTGTCAAAAAAAGTTTGGCTTATTCAAATTTTCCAAACGATTGTATTTTGTTGGAGTTGCGTTGGGTATTGATAAAAGATTCGGCTATCTATCTATCTACCTATCTATCTATCTATTTATTTATTTATTTATAAAGATTTATTAGATAAATAAAAATAAATGTATGAATAAAGTAAAATTGGATAGTGTAAATATATACCGTCGATATCGTAGACCTTGAAGAGAAATCGAATCTTGTCGTCCGGAGTTTTACCAGCAAATTGATGCATAGCGTCAAGAAACTCCTGAAGAGATATTGTACCCGAGTTGTCCTTGTCGAATATCTGGAATACTCTCTCGGTGAAGAAAGGCTGTAACGCGGATAAAAATGTGCTTGGCTTTATTCAAGATTGTTGTTTTCCTGAACGATGAAGGGTGAGGGGGCACACGATAAATACATAAGTATTTGTATACCTATATATTATATATACTTATATTATACAGGTACACAAATGTACATCTATCTATACGTATAGATATCTGTGTTCTTAGTAACTGAGGGATAAGGGGTACACAAGGGCAAAAGCACGAGTTTTAAGATAAGAGAAAATTTACTGCCTCACGTTCTTCGATATAACGATTTTCTTGAATTCCTCACGACGTATTTCTCGTTCGTTTCCAACTGTCTGTTTGAAGATCTTCTCCAGCCATTCTAGATTGCTTTTATCGAAGCCCGCCGGTGATCTTTTGACAAATGAACATTTTTGGTTAACATTTAACAACAATCAAGATTCAATTTATCATTTTTCACAATTACTACCCAACACACACATTTATCTTTTATCACTTTTTTCCTTTACAGTATTCGCAGTTAAGGATTTTCTTTTTTTGTATCAGAAAAAGATAGTGCTTTAGCATATTGTGGTTTTAGAAAAATAGCACTCACAAACAAAAAATAATGCTATGATTATAAATTACAAAAATATATAAATTTTTTAACAATCTTTTATATTTTGCTCTTAATTAAGAGGGAATTAAAATTTTTCTTATACCGTTTAAAATTTTTGTAAAATTACAATCGTTTTGAAAAACAATGTATGTCAATCCAAAATTATAATTCTACACGAGTAATAAATAAATTTTCCTAGATGTGTAAAGAAACCTACAAAAAAAGTATCCTAAAGTTTTGTATTATTAAAAAATCCCTGTTTTCAATTTTGGCTAAATGTTTTGTCTATCAGTTTCTGAAACATTTTTTGTAAAATTACTATGGAAATTTTTAACAGTATATTAATAAAATCCAATTCAGAGTAGAAATACGTGATTTGATCGAAATTGACAATACTTTTCTAACGTTATATTACTTTTATCACGGGATTGGAAGATTTGTCGATATGTAAAGCTGTCTTTTTCCGAATTATTACAACTTTTTTTTTTTTATTTTTTTTTTCATTTAACCCCGCTTTTCAGACTTCTGTCTTGATGGGGGTCCAGCCGAGACCGCAGGGGGGACTCCAGGCTGATCGGTACATTAATTATTATCGGCACATGAATTATTGCAACTTGCAATTGATTAATCAGAAATATCATTTTTTATTTTCAATGAACTTAAAAAAAAAATAGGTGATTGTTAACAAAAAAATTTAATTATCATTTTCATGAGTTGAAATATTTTGTTTCCTACTTCTAAATAACTGCCATAAGAAATTAAAATAATTAAACTAATAAGCTTGAAAATTTTTTGATCTAACCATCAATGAAAAATTTATGTTTTTAAATTAAGAAATTCATACTTTTAATTTATCAAATAATATCTCAGCAAAAAGTGTCAGATTGTTTTAACAATGTACGAAGTTCACATAGTTTCAAATTTTTTTAATTATCAAATGTCCTTTTCATCTACATTCTTATGTTTAGGGTAATACTGTCGATACTGAAAGAGCCAAATGTCAAATACAGTCTTGTTTGACTTACAATAGTAGATTCATTTATTAGTTAGTTTTGTCACATACTCTGAACCTGTACTTTAAATTATTGAATATATTTAATATATTATTGTCCATCTTAATTTTTTATTTTAATTTTTGTTGAGATTTAGGCGTTTTTTTTTGTGAAATAACATGAAATTTATGATTTTTCAAAAGCTTTTAAGGTAGTATCAGATACCACAACTGTTAAATGTTCCATACAAAGCCTTATTTGATTTACGTAGTTGATTTTCATCTGTAAATTTGCATTAGAGAAAGAGAGACAGAGATAACTTTTTAAAATTTTTTTATTAATTATTATTATTATTACTATCATATGTTCTGAATTTGGACTTTTGATTACGCAAAGTATTCAATATCTCATTTCTCTTCATCGCTTAAATTTCTATTGAAATCTAAACGTCACTTTTTGTAAAATAAAATAAAAACTGCTATTTCTCACGACTTGTTAATGTCTTATTCTGGAACTTTAAAAGTTTACTGGTAAAATATTTTTTACTGGTTTTTTTTTGAGCTTTTCAATAATTTAGTGGGTTCATTATCTTAACACAATTTACTAATCTGTCAAATTTCATTAAATTCTGAACAGAAACTCAACCGAATACCACTTTAAAAAACTAAATTATTCATACGTGGTGATTTAAATCTAGAAATATCGCAACATAGATAAAAATTAATTACGGTTAATAATAATCAGAATGTAAAATTTACTTGAAATTTAATGCTGCCTTCAAATATAATCATGCTCTGATCTAACTTGAAATCTTTTTAAAGTATTATAAAATTATTAATGAGTAATGATACTGACAGACATGATGAGCGGTGAGCTTCTTATTTTTATCTTTAGTAAGTAATGTTTTTATTATTACTCTAAAAATAACTACATCTGCAGTACGATACGTATTTAATCGATAGTTCGTAAATAGTGTACTTCCGTGCAATCCACTTCGATTCCAATTTTAATATTATATTATTCGCTATTTTATAAAAATATTTTTGACTAATTACTAATTACACACATTAAAAAAAGTGGTTTGTACATTTGACCAGACCCTTCTGGGTTTTTTCGCGATTTTTAGTCAATTTTTTCGTTATTGCACGCCTCATAAGCGAAGCGTTGAGGTTGTGCTCTACTCTCGACATTTCGAAAAAAGCAGTTTTCTCGAAACTGAAATTGATTTTTTGTTATTTATATCGCACTTACAGGTTAAAATGAGTACACTTATGTCAAGTCAAATAATTTTTCAGGCACATAAAATATATTTCAATAACAATTTTTTTGTTTAACATAATAAATAATAACATTAAACATAATCTTTTTTGGACGTCCGTGTATGAATGGGTGTATGTGGCAGGGAAATTGGTCGAAAAAATGATCGTACCGGAATAATTTTTTTTTAATTATCTAAAGTAACACACGACAGAATTTCTTAGTTAATATGAGCGTTCAATTCACTGTCGTTAAATTATTATTTATAAAAAACTAATATATGACTGTGGATTTTTTTGTATTTCTATCTATAAATTTTATTATAGTATTTTTTTTCCTCACCTTGCAGTTATGGCGCCACTAAACCATAGCAGTGTTTTCTGTTTTTTATTATTTTGCTTTTTATATTTTATTTTAAAAAATGAGATTATGAAGCGTGCACTTTTGGATTTTCCAAACTTTTTTGAAATTTACTCAAAATTTTGAGGATGTACGGGTTGAACCAACCTCAAATTTGGATTAAGTGCATTGAAATACATTACTCTAGATGGGTCTGGTCAAATGTACAAACCAATTTTTTTAATGTGTACCGGTGCTATTATTTCTTAGCTAAGCTTAATTAATTGAGAGGTAGGTGATTAAATTAATTATTAATATTTAATATTACCTCGGGTTACTTATTTCGCAGAGAAAATCCATAATCTGTCCAGGTAAAATATATCCCGTGTTATCTTGTTTAATAAGACGGAATAACTTGTCAACTATCTAAAAAAACATGGAAAAAAATTACAATTAATATAAAATATTATTAGTGTTTAATTTGTCATATTAATAATAATATGTTATAACATGTTACAAAATGATTTGTAACGTGGTAAATTTTTATTCGACGCCCAATACTTGGGGTATTATAATATTCCAGGCTCGAATCCAACGTCGTGAATGTTATGTGTGAATGAATGAAAATTGTACTAATTTTTATGAATTTATTTTGTGTAAAATGCGTAACGCTGGACGAGTAACGAAGACAGAGCGAGTCACAGTGGGTACGAGGCTATGCATTGGAGCGACAAGGATGGAGCTACGACGTAAACAAGCTAGTACCGAAGCGAGTACCGAAGTGACGAGGCACCGAGCGCCGTAAACACCCGAGAGGCCTGGATACCGATCGACGCTGCAGTGCCGCTATTTTCCAATACGACGATCAACATCGATGACAGTTGGTTAGTCAGTACTGCAGGAGCAGAGGTGACTAAAAACTGTCGTGAACGTCCGTTGACTGTTATACGGACCTAGATCAACTATCGACGGGGATCAATTCCAATGGAAATGAAGACTAGCGCCGCCAACTTCAACGAAGAAAGAAGTGGATACTTCTCCATGAAGAAGACGATTCGAGGCTGGACTGTCGACGGAAACGGACGCGCTTTTGCGCGCTCCGCAACCTAAAATTAATTTCGAACTATTGTCGCGAGTAGTTAATTTGAAATTAATTGTAATTTGTATTGAGTATTTATTTTCTAAATTCATGATTTATTTGAGTCGAACGCTCGAAGCTTTCCAAGCTGCTAAGATGAGGACGACGCTCAATTTCGTGGTAAGCCGACGTTCTTGTTCAGTGTTGAATCCAGCGTTGAGAGTCCACGTTGGAATTTTGTAAAATATTTTGAGTAACAAAATAATACGCGAGGATTCAACGCTTTACGATTATTTTTTTTTTGTAATGCTGTTATTACATGGAGTGATTGCTGAGGTATGAATGTGAGAGTAAGAATTGAATGAGATAACAACATTTATTAATTTTAATTTTGTTAAAATTGAGTGCAAATTTAAGTTACGACGTTTAATAATTTTTGTTAAAAATTAATATCGACCGCCGACATATATTTTGTTGAATAAATTGTTATTTTTTTTAATTTTCCTGAATTTATTTCAAGTAATTTTAAGCCTTTCGTTTATTTTGCTATCCATTTTTTTTAATGACGAGTATTTCAGCATGGCCCGCCGCCCTGAAGAAGAGGTAATAGCTAGCCGAAGTCGAAGCAGTAATTAGTTGGAGATCATTCTCCTGGCGCCATTTTATTAATGATAATTTTTTTTAGTAAGCCAAATTTTAATATAAACGATGAGCCTGGCTTAGTAAATCCCCGGGTCAGGCGAAATCCCGTTATAAATTAAATAATTAAATTCAAAATAATCAAATTCAAAATAATTAAGATATGCTTAATTGAACTACATATTTTATTCATACGTTTAAATAAATAATTTAATGCAAAATTTGTCACAGTAAATAATTTAATGTAAAACAGTACACATGTATGTCTTTGTTTATGCATAAATGCGCTTACGTATACACAAACACATAGATGTATAATAGAGCATAAGAGTAAGAGAGAAACGATATTGTACTCTGACCC